AAAATTATTATAAGTGAAATGTATTAGTAGTCATTTATATAATGACTTATTAAAATGTATCTTTTTGTACCATCACTTAATAAAATATAAATAAGAAATTACATAAAGATGACTTCTTTTCCGCCCAACTTTTATAATTTAATTAATTTCCAATACGTTTACCTTTTCTTTAAGAAGTTAAAAACTAAGAGAAAGAATTAATAAAACCTTAAAGTTGGTCCTTGGCTAACCTGTGAATTTATCCCTTTCATATAAATTCGGCTTTTTTTCATCAGTTTAATACATATTATCTCTTTTAATACACAGATTATAATAATTTCTTCTTTAGCATCTGCGATATAGTAAATGTTACAGAACATGCGAAATATAGAACATGCATAATTAAATAATATAGTAACTATGCCATATTGACGAATAAATGAAATTTAAGGCAAGATTTTTCTTAGAATTTTCAAAGATTATTTCTCCATCAATGAAGTTAAACTTCAGAGCATCCGTTTAATTGTAATGAAATTTTTTATTAACATTTTAAATATCTTAACTAGTAAAGTTTTCATTTATTGATTTCACTAGTTAATTTTCAAAAAATGATGATTCATTGATTTATAATCAATCTTTTGGTTGTTAACAATCAATAATTAATTTATGAAACTGAGATTAATTTATTAGTACGATACTACAAAATTTAAAACAAATTCTTCCTTTTAGATTAGAGTATCTCTTGTAATTATTACAAGTGATTTTGATGTGAAAATTTCACAACCCATTTTTCCTTTTAATTATTACTCAGAACATTTTACTTTGTATAAAGGAATATATTATGAAAAGCCAGAGAACTGAATATTTGGCTTTTTAAAAATATTATTTTTTCACTCAAGTTCCTACTGACGATAATGGTTTATATTCTTTGAAAAATGAAGTAAAGGTATAAATACCATTAAAATTCAATATTACAATCAATTACGGCTAACATTTTTATTTATTAAATACTACTAGTTAAATATTAAAGTGATGTAAATGCAAGATTATTAACGGATTTATACCTTAGTAACACGATGAGGTCTGATCCTATTTACTTTCTTGTTATACTTTAAACATTGTTAGTATTTATAAATTTGTAAATAAAATTTAATAGGTATTCACTTTTGATATAGTATAATCGATTTTTATTATTTTATTTATAAACACGATAAAAGCAATATTAATAACATTTCAAGTAAGGGAAGTTATAAAATTTTGAAAGAAGATTTGTTCATAGGTGAAATTAATAGAAATTACTGATTTGAATAGCTCAATTAGCTTATCAGGTAGCAAGCTAACACAACATTTTTCAAAAAATTTCCAATGAAATTATTATTTCTTATTTAAAAAGATTGACTGTAAATTAGTGATTGATATTGAATCTTATAAGTGAAAATTTCAAAAGGACTATTTTACCACAAAAATTATAATATAAATTGTAAGCTATTTCCAATTAATATGATCTTATACTAATAAGAAAATCATCCAAAACACTATTCCTACTGTTAATAATATAAATTTAAATTTAATATAAAAAAATTTTACCATTCATCATATTCAACTATTCTTCCTTCTAATTCATATTCTTCTAACAAATATTTTATTTCCATAGTCTTACATTGTAATTTTAAAAAGATAGGATTTCTGCCTTTCCAATTATCTATAAAAAATTTTATGTGCGCAATTTCCATTGAAAAATTATTTTCAAAACAAAGCTTATACAAATTAATTGGTGATATTTTAGTTAATGCATTAAAAAAATTATCCCAATTAAAACCATAGTTGGATATAATACGTAATCCAATTAAATATTGACAGGTAGTTAATAAGTTTTCTATTTCTATAATATTGCCAACTTGAGGTGTAAATGTTAGATATATAAGTTTTGGACAATTTTGATAAATAGATTGAATAATTCTTTCATTCTCATTCTCTGAATAGAAGTTTCCATAATTATGAAGTTCTATTATAGTAAGTGATCCTTTTGTATTTTCAATTAAACTTATTAAATATTTGACAGGAAAATCTTGAAGAATTAAAAATTGTAAAGAAGGTAAAGATAAATTTTCCAAACACTTCCATTTGCTTTCTTCAAATAATTGATCACCATGCAATTCTAAACTTTTTAAATTTGTCAAAGATGAGAGAATTCCTGTGGTAAATGGTTTAAATCTTGCAAAATATTGAATAGTATCTGAATGTTTAATCAAAGAATTTTCAAGAATCTTACAAAATGGTTCATCTTGTGGCTCATGATAATCATCATAACTTCCAAAATAAACATTAACCAATTTTTTTTGAGCCTTAATTAATTTAATTATCTCATAATTGTTATTAGAACTTTCAATAAAAAGTGCCAAATTTTCAATTGATTTACATTCTGATAATCCAGTTAAAATATTATTACCAATATTAGTATAACATTTTAAAAATTTAATTTTTGAAAAGCAGATTTTGGCTTCAGGTATAAGATGTAATTGACAATTAAATTTTTTTGGTATGTAAAGGTATGTAATTTTTACATCTTTATTAATAAAAAGTTTGAATATTTCATCTTCAACAATTAATCTTTCAGATAAATCTTTAATATATTCAGTTATATTCATAATTGTACCTAAATTTAAATGTTTACAAAATCTAATGTAATTTAATAAAGGTCTTTGACATTAGCTCAAATGTATTCCACTATTTATAAAATAATTATAAACCTCTTTAATTTTTGCTTCATCTTGTATGTGTGATATAATTACATTCAATAATAAAATTGTTGAACTAAAATGAGGAAAATTAGTTAATTCATTCCAAGGATCTTTCCATAAAATTAGAACAATTATTTCACACCAAGTTTTATTAACTAAAAGACATGAATATAAATCATTTTTATTATCTTCTAAATATTCAAATATTAAATGGAGAATATCATTATTTAATCTGAACATTTTTACTCCTTTTTTTTTTTGAAAAAAATTTTTGACAATAAATAAAAATAAAAAGGGATAACACGTGATGATGATTGTGAATGTTGTAAATTGTAATGCGTATACTTCATAAATTACGTATTCATGACATAAGTTTGTGATAGAAAATCAAAGAATTTCTATTACTAATATATTTATATTTTAACACTATTTAAGTAAGTAAGAACTTGATTTGAATATTATTTAGGACATATTAATTTAAATGTTATAATACAAAACAAAACCGATTGTTTTACCTTCTCATTATGTAACTGCAATGTGATTTTTATTAGTAATGCGAATAATTTGTTGTTGTTATAATTAAAATATTAAACAAAAAAAATTTTGTTATTTGTAATATTAAAATTGCAATTATTTACTATAGAAGTTTTAAAAAGTTTTGACGGGCTATATCTAGTATGAGATATTAATAAAAATATATCCGGTTGATAAATTTTAGTTTTATCATGAAATTTATATCACTTTAAGAGATCGATTTTATAAAAGAAAATTCAAAAATTTGACTATTATTTGTAAGTAGAGATAATTTTTTTAGTATATTATAATAGTAGTACAGATATTTAATTTTATTACCTGAAAAACTTCGTAATCTTTCACTAAGGTACTAACATTATGTTAATTAAATTATTACTTTTTAAGTATTACCACCGTTTAAAACTTTCGGACGTTACTTCTTTGGTATTTGTGTAATGACACGGGTACAACTAAATTACACAACATTAATATATTTAAGCGGCTCGTATTAAAATAAGTGAAGTTTGTGACGAAAATAGTCATTTGGACAACTACTACCGTATTTATATACATGTTAAACTCTTTCATATAATATGAAATTCTTTGAATTATAATCTAAATATTATAATCTAAATGGGTTTGAATCAGATTTTCTTGGTAATTATATTTTTCTAAAAATTCAAAAATTCATAATTCTGTTTATGAACCAAACACGTTTTATCAGAACATGCATAATGTTAACACCAAAAATGCAAGACAACTCATTATTTTATTGTATTTTACAGCATAATATATCGTAAGTAAAAAAGAGAATTATTTGCTTAATAATAAGTAAACGAAAGAGCTTATTTTAAGTTTATCCATTTATATTTTATAATTACTATATATTATTAATATATTAAACTAATTACAATTTAGTATTAGTCCTATTATCTGGTGGATTGTTTTAAAAGTCATCTCGATTCCATTCATATACACTTCAATCATGAAAAGGTGAGCAATCTCGCGGGGACGAATAGTTAAGCTAATGAGATGGAAACGCGGTAACCTAGTAAGCTAATCATGTGTCACAGGCAAAGTCTCAAACTCTCGTATTTGTTTTATGTGCTACATCAATTCTATAACATAATAAAAAATTTACGCATAACATTGATCGTGGCTTGGCATCACATATTCCGTATATGTAATATCCAGTGTAGACTACAGTCTATTTTTTTCGGAAAAATCAATAAACAAAAATATTAGGTACACACAGACCAATCCTATTTCTTTTACATTCAGGTTTACAGATGCCCATGACCAAAGTTTCGCATTCTTAATATTCCGTGGCGCAATGAAATCACTATCATCACATACCCGAAGTCTCGTTGCAAAGCTTGCTTCGGAATAAGATAATAGATCCGAAATTAATTCTCGTTCTTTTACGAAAATTTTTTACATGGTTTATACTTTATACAGGCGGGAGTGATAAAGTTAGTTTCGAAAATAGAGAAGGATTATGTAGGTGGATATTTTATTTCAGAAATTCGATACATAGCAAAGAGAAAATCATTCGTTTAGGAAATAATGTTCGCATTAAATGGTCTGCACCCTCATGTCATATATTTCATTTATTTCGTCATATTGTACTCTATTTCGAAAAAATAAAGCATCACTGCATCGGAATATCAAATTTTTATTGTATGTAACATTGCAACGTTTTAAAAAAATACATTACATGAAATCGCTACATTTACAATTACAGTTAAAAGCTACGAATTTGTTCTATTAATTACAATTTATCTTCGTAACCTTAATATTTTTTCTCGCCTCCATAGGAATGTTTTTAACCTTATTATATAGATCATTTTCATCCTCAAATGGTCTTTCATTCTTGATGTCAAATGTAATTTTCTTTCCTATTCCTCTAATCGTTTTTAATTCGTATTCCTCAGCAATATTTGCATCCAATTGGTCGTTATCTATGCAACAAATGTAAGATTATAATGATAACTATATAACACAATGATACTCATACCTGCAGCAAATTCAGCACGGGTCGAAAATGTATGCCCATAGAAGTCCTTAAAGTTTTCGCGATATACCACAAAACAGTTTTCTGGTAAAGAGTTCAAACAATCTTTTGCCCTATAAAAAAAGAAAATTCGGAATCTGTCCTGAAAAGTATGGAAAATGTCCGGAAAATTTCCGTGCGTCCGGAAAACATTCAGAAACGGTCACGTTTTGGAACACTTTCCGGACGCACAAATTCCAGACATTTTCTTGACACTCCAGAATTTGTCCAGAATTTGTCCAGAATCGAGCGTCCAGAAAATGTTCCAAAACATGACCGTTTCCGAATGTTTTCCGGACGCACGGAAATTTTCCTGACATTTTCCATACTTTTCAGGACAAATTCCGAATTTTCTTTTTTTATAGGGTTGTCTTAGGTTCATTTGTGCATATAAAAAGAACCCAATGCTTAATGGGACTTTCGCTCTCAAATGATTTCTTCATAACTTCAAATGCATCATTAACTTTGTTGTACTCTTTATCCACCAACCCCTTAGATAAGGTTTGGGGCTGTCCAGCTGTGACATTTGAAGATTTAACCTGAATTGCAATAAGATAATTATCTAAGAAAAAAAAGATATCCCATGGGGCTCCTTCACCATTCTTAAATACTGTGCCAAGCGACAAGTGCTCATTTTGCATTGTGTAAGGATATTGATATCCAAGTTCTACATAATATTTTTCCATAGTAGGGAGATGAAATCTATGATCCAAAAAGGTGAGATTACCGTAATATGCACCTCTGAAAAGATTTTCTAACGTTACTGTTTCATATAACACTTTAAAGAGTTGAAGGCGTAAAACCCAAAATCGCATATTAAAATCTTCAAAACCCTGCCACAAGACATAGGATTCTTGATCAAATATCACATCCCAAAATTTTCCTATTTCAAACTCATTGAGTGAGATTAATATCCACACCCACATATATGGCATGCGGACATAAAATAACATATTAGGATGGTGAGGTACTTCTTCCAAATTTATAATACCTTTTGATGAGAGGTCAACATAGGTGACACCTTTTCAATTTCATCATTCTTGTTCACAGGAATGTTAAGGATAGATTGCGCAACTACTTGTTTCATACTAGCTAAAAATCTTCTAAATGGACATCGCTCTAAAAGTTCATTTCTGACACACCTCAGTATACATACATAATTCACTGTATGTGTACCGGAACTGATTTCTTTTGATAATAATTCATAATAAATCTCCAAAGCTCGTACATGCCCACCAATATCACTAACACAGCAGTGTTGGAAGTTTTGTTGTTGTGATTGAAATTTGCTATATGTGAGTCAATGTTAATCATCTCTGTATTCGAAAGTAGACAGAGCGGTAGACGTAGAATATTATATCCCGATTCTATAATCATTTTCTCAAGAGGACCTTGTATCCTTCCAGCCAATATCGGTACATAGATTATTTTTCCTAGAGCTGTAGCTAACGACCCAACAGAATGTACTATTTCTTGAACTGGATTAACACTTGTTCTTGGTAATCCCATACTGTAAAGACACTTTAGCTCATCGATGCCAAGGATGGTAAGATCAATATCTCCACCAACATCTCTGATAACAACATTAAGTGCACTTTTAATTGAGAAACTGCGCCAATCACCAGAACACAAACACGCACACATTGAAAAAAATCTTCATACAGTTCACCCTCGCTATAGTGAAGCTCATGGGCTGAAGGTTAAGATTCACTATAGTAAGGGATTCACTATAGCGAAGGTGAACTGTATTAAGAATTATTATTTATATAGAAAATCCGTACCTGAGCTTTTCTTTACTATAGCAAATTATTCACTATATAAAAATTCACTATAGCGAGGGTGAACTGTAGTCTATTGCTTTACTGGAAAGAAAGTGTTTATAAAGTATTCGCAATGCAACTGATGCAGGTCCAGCATAAATCTCATCCTCTAATGCAATAAATCCTCCATTAAAAGTAACATTGACAGATAATATTTTTAAATTTTTCAATTCATCCACATTGTGATTCAGTAAAAGAGCCGGAAGCTCCTGGAGAAATTGACTTTTCCCTGTGCCTGGTCCATTGGCCAGGATGGGAATATGATGAAGTTGTTTGTCATCCCTATTTTCCCTTATATATTTAAGTCTTTAACAAATCCCATTATGTGTTTCATTGCCATGAAGTAGTACTTTAAGTGTTTCATCTCGTCCTTGTAAAGGGAATTTGGCACTTACAAGCTAGTATAAAGTTAGTACATGGTCTGAAACAAAGGAAATAGGTATAAAACAAAAATACCACAAGCTTCTTAATCTCACTAGGTCGTTTTAACTCTCTCATCCAGTTGTAAACCAAATTAACATTTTTCCAATCAACCCCATCTATATGTATCAATAGTGGCGGTCATAATACAAAATTAAGACAACACAAGCTATTTAACTGGAGATACTTTACTTTGTGGAATGCCTTGCTGGGAGGGACCTGCTTTAACACGAAAAATGAGATCAGACTAAATCGATATTTTGTTTCTGCAAATTTCTTGTTCGAGTAGTAAAACATGGAGAGACGCTTACCAGTGTAGGTGGTTGCGATGACGGCAACAATTCTGATGTTATCTTCCTCCGTAGGTTCATATCCATCTTGAAAATAATTTATAAACTTGCATTGATGTTTCATAATTACGCCTCCAAGTTTTTAATATCTGCTTCAGTAGACCTAGGATTAAGCACACTTTTATCGATATCAACTTGCCAAAGAATTAGTATATCAGATCTTCCAAACATTCCTCTATGAGAGATAAGCCTTTCAAGTTGTTCAACTTTAAATTCCTCAAATGGAATTCTCTCATCATTAATTTTGAAGAATTTTTTATTGTCATTGTCATTTTCATTTTTGTAAACTTCAACCTAGAAAACATAACTATTATCTAGTCGCAAACAATTGTATGTTTCAACCATTTCGATTATATTTCTGTAATGATAAAAAAGTTATTTTAGTTTTAGCGAAAGAGGTTTTGAGAAATTAGAGAGCTGTTAAGGGTATACTATATATATACATCATGGCAAACTTTTTGTGGCTTGTAGTGACGTAATGCCATAAAAATTAATAAGCATAGTAATTTATCAGTATATAAAAAAATTGATTGGGTATTTATTAAAAAAGGTGAACTTACAGAGTGGTCATATAATGACTAATCAGTATGGCTTTTTTACAGACAAATAAATTAATATAGTGCAGTACAGTTATACTATTTTCTCTGAGCCTGAACTCGTTTAAAGTATCGCAGTTTGAAAGAAGTTCCTGACAAGACTTACACTAATAAGGTAATAGGTATGAATGAAATATACTTTTTTAGTTATGGTCGTGCAAAGAAAACGATTCCAAGGATTTGCAAACGAATGATATTTTCTTGTACAGATTTCTGAGGATCTTACTAGAATCATGAATGCAAACAACATAAATTTTCGACATAAGTTTAATGTTATGTTCTATGATTTAGTTATTTCCTGTTACTGCATATCTTGTATAACTGATGACCGTTTTATATTATCCAGAATATTGGTTATCATGGAGTTAATGTTGGGATAATGTGTATTAAGTAGTGTAGGTAAGCGAAAAACTGGTGTGGTCTATAGGCATTAGTATAGAAATACCATTTCATTTTGTAAAACAAGTCTATATATCACTGAATCTTGTAATTTATTTTACATAAATAAATAAGTAATTCTGATGAGGATATTACCTCGTTTTTTTATTTATGCTAACGAACTTTTGAATTATTCCACCTTATATAAAAAATATTGTCGAACATGCAATCCATTGATTCATTGAGGGAATTAAATTCCAAGCTCTTAGCTGAGATTGCAGCTTAGGAAGGATAATGCTGAGATTCCCGAACTTAGAGAAAAGGTTGCTGAGGATGAAGTTGAGAAAATGAAGCTGAGATAGGAACTTAAGGCTAGAACTTATGAGCTGGAGAAAACTATATTGCATTATTCAGTTGAGATTGGCAAACTTAATGTCACAATCGTAGAGCTAGAGAAAAATAGGGCAGTTACTACTTACTACTAAACTCGAATCTGAGAATGCTGAGTTTCGAGATAGAATTACGAAAGTCGGTAGAACAGAGACAGATACAAAATGATAATGTTACCAAGGCAGCCAATTCTTCTAGTAACAGTAATAACAGTTCATTTAACTACAATTTAGTTGCAGAGGATCACGGGAAATCATTGATGGATGAGGAAAAGGATGGTTCCTTTTAATATTCCGAGCTAAACCATTTTATGATTGGCGAAATGTTTCGTCTTATAAGGTAAACTTCCGAAACTACGTCCAAACTTCCGTAACATGCCATAATTTCCGAAACATTTATTTTTAAAATACTTATATCTGAAATTTCCGAAACTTATTTATTGTGATTAAGAGCATCTCCCTCAACGTGATTGAATGATGATGTCATTGTGTTCAAGTATCACAATCAATAGAAATATCAATAGAATTAAAAGCTTGAGAAAGCTTTTTTTTTTTTGAGCTACATGATTTCATTTGGTTACGAATTTTTTTTCAGATAAATTTTAGAGTGTGAGGTACAATAATGAAAAAGTGTTGTAAAAAAACATGTAAAATCTTGAACGAGCTTGAGCATACTCTATCAATTGTAGATCATTGAAGAAAAAAGGTGGTTTGCAACTCATTTGTTTTTTCATCGAAATGGTAACTCTCTGATATTTTTTTGGCCAATCAGATCGTTCATCAGTCTATCAATTGAGGTGCTTGAGAACGCTCTAAATGTAAATAAAAAATAAAGTAAATTAAAGTTTAAAATTTATTATTTGTTTATTGAATTCTTTATTATTATTAGCAAACAAACTTTACATATCATCTGTATCAGGGTCCCATTCCATACTACTTTCATTTTCTGATATAACTATTATTATCTTGAATATTTTCCTCCTCCATATCTATATTGTCAGTGTTACATTGCATAAATGCGATGTTATATTTGACCTAAAATTTTCACCCGATTTTGGGCCGGCATTACGAATTTGGCCGGAATTAAGAATATTTTGGCCGGAATTATAATTTAAAGATCGTACATATACTATATCTAATGATAAAGCTTCGCCACAATTTTTTTATATCTTATATAATAAAAAAAATTAGAGTGTTACATTGATATTATTATATTTAAATTCGAATGTTAAAATTTCCAAGCAATTTTCAAAATGAAGCATCTCAAATTTAGGTCTAATTAGTTTTCTTTAAACAGAAAAAATTTTAATTGCAAAAATTTAATTAATTAACAAAAGCATTATACAATGTCAATTTACAAGTGTTAACCTTCTTAAAGTTTCCAAGAAACATAATTACTTAACAAAATTAACGAATGAACTGACAAATTACTATAATTTTGAATTACAACTCAAAATTTCTGAGTTATTTGCAATTTGTTTTAATAATTTGATTAAATATTTAATTAGTATATTATTCATAAATAATAAAGATGCCTTTGAAAATCATATAAAAAAGTTACAGACAAAGAGATCACAAAATTGTGATTCAAAATTCAAAACAAGTAGGTAGGTAATTGTTTCTTTATTATGCAGGTTTAATTTATTTAATTTATTTTCTTGGTGATGGTTTGGTTATTTAGATAGTCTATATAAGATTTAATTTACGGTAGTTGTTTGTTAATCTTGAATTATCTGGTGAATTGTCTAAAAGTTGCCTTGATTTTATTCACATAAACTCCAATTATTGGAAAATAAAGCCAGAAAATCGTTAAAAATGATAAAAATATTACCCATTAAAGGAGTATAATAATAACAAGAAGTCATTTTCACAGGGAAGCTTAACATGCTTTTAAAGATTTTTTAAGTTGAAAGTTATTGTAAAAACAAGTAAATTAAGTATAGAGAAATGGCAGATTTCAAGTTTATTATAAGTTACAATGAAATGTTTAAAATAAATTAATTTATAAATGTTTAAAAAATTTCTTCTTTTCATAAAATAATAAAAGGTATTTATTCTACTTTTCCTCAAAAAAAAAAAAAAAAAAAAAAAAATTTTCATCATAAAAAAAATTTTGATTTAACTGATTCATGATAATTCTATTATTAATAATATATTAATAAATATATTTTTCCAATCTCTTATTACATGATATATTAAATAAATTTTCTTATAAATCAGAATTATAAATTATTACAAATCAATATTTAAATTAACAATATGATAATTTAAGTATAAGAATTTTAATATTAATTTCGCATTTTTATACATTAAATACAGTATTTATTGAATTTACTTAAGAAATTTTTTAGATGAAATTTTCCTACAGTAATATAAATATATTTTGCTTGTTCAATTGCCAGTATTGTTTCTTACCATATTATTGAATTTCACAGCCGCCGATCTGCCGAATGTATGTGATAGTTTTGGCGCTGCTAGATGGGTCTTTTATATAATATGCATTCCGGATATATTATGACTTATTTAAATTTATCTCATGTTTACTAATTGGTCATCAGTGATTTTTTTGATGATACATTCATGCCTGTAATTTTTCTGATGATATTTTTCGTGCTCACGTGTTTTTATAGTTTATTTATACCTTTTCCACTATTTCCCATCACTGGACGTTAGTCTCCAATTCACGGCTGTGCCGTGAAAATCATTGGTATTGTTTTTACTTAATTCTGTCGACTGTCGGTATAGAATCAGTATTTTCTTACATCTTTTTGTAATAAAAAAATGGAAGGAAGTTCAAGTCAGGTAAATTATTATTTTAAGCAAACATTAAAAATTTAGTCAATTATAAATCATTTTTCATTAGAATTAATTTTATATAATAATAGAATGGAAGTTCTACCAATACTGCTCCTGGTAACCTAGAAAATAATAACTCTCTTTCGTATAAAACGATTTTGTATGAAAATATGTTCAACAATCGTATCCTTCTTAAATTAGGAGAAGATGGATTCATCACGCCTGATGAAAAGGCAAAAGAACTTATTAAGGAACTATCCGAAATAAAGTATTTATATGCTCTGAAGATGCTTTTTGAAAACTTGCAAAATGAATTTTCATCTCAAGTTTTAGCAAATTCATTAGAAGCTTTAGTTGATACTCCTTTTAATCATTATTCAAAAGAAAGTGTTGCTAGATTAGAATTACATTTAAGAGCTTTGGTTACCGTCTTAGAACGGATATGTTTTTCACCGATAGTACTTAGTAAAGTACTTCGAGACAAAGTTTATAATTCTTTAGCAAAATTTGCAGAAATTCATCGTAAAACAACTCAAGTTATCGAAATAGGACTTGATAATAATTTTAGACGAAATTTCAATCAATTCAATCAACAAAGTAATAATCAAGATGAACAAATCATTAAAAAGCGTAATTATAATATTGATTTTTTATTAATCCATTTGCGAGATACTCTTCATAGTTTACGTGATGATGAAACTTGGTTTTAAGAAATTATACGAAGAGTTAGAGACTTACTTAAAACTGCATTGAATATTACACCAGGAATTCTAACAATGGCAGGAATCAATCTTCCAAATGATTGTTCAATCTTATCAATGTTTACTCAAATACGTCAAAGTTTAAGTTTTAAATATCCGGTAGCATCTTATTATGTAGATTGGAGAATTATGTTAATAATTCAAAATAATCTTTTCATTTGGTCTGAAAGTTCTGAAAAGATTATTAGTAAAAAATTTAATGAATTGGTACTTATGGATTATATTTGGAGCTTTTTGGAAAGAGAATGGGGTAATTCTGCAGACAAATCTATTTTAGATTCTCAAACAAAATTTGATGAAGTATCAAATAAAGTCGTCAAGACTTTGATAAATGCTGGAGGCATTTTAAATGATCTTTCTGGAAATGAACCTATTGCATTACCACATACTTTGTGGTTTGGAATATTAGACCTTGCACAAAATCTTATCCAAAGATCATCCCGAATAGCAACATATGGTCTTTGTTATTATTTAGCAATTGAATCACTTAATAAAGCACCAAGTAGTTTTATTCAGTTTAAATCTACTGAATTATTATTACATTTATATAATATTGATAGTGAAATGTTTTCAATGATTGAAATTGATTTTGATCAATACACACAAAAATTAAGTGAAAATAATTTAGAAGATGTTTTAGAAAATTTCGAAACTTATTAACTTTTGTCAAAGAGAAATATCATGAAGATTTAAAAATTTTAATAATATTGGAAAAGGAAAAGAGGGAAAAGGAAAAAGTTTAAATCAAAATTCATATTTAAAGAAAAAACAAACAGTAAATTCTAATATTTTAAATGTTATAGCAGATGAAATTACTTATTTCTTTTAATTAGATGTAAAATACATATTGAATTGAGCAAGTATTATGAAGCTAAAGGAGATTTGGATATGTTATTTAAATTTAGTGATAAATACATCAGTGCAAAATACATTTTTCTACAGATCAACGAATATAATGTTGGAAACTGCTGGTAACTCATTCAAAATCACAATTTAGAAACGTTTATGTCATGTTGAATTATTAAGATATAGACATATTATTTGTTCCCATACCTGGATTTGAAATGAAGCCAATGATAGACTTTATTTATGCCATACATAGCCTTACTGTCATTAATATAATACATAGTCTCTATTGTCATGAATTACGAAATACTATATTGTCCCGTGTTGTTTTTTGAATCTGTAATCTGAAAAACTAACCTCATTTGGCATTATGACCAGATTACCAGATTATCAACATTTTACGGTAAAGGCGATGCAATAGTTATTGCTGATTGTTATTGATGAGTCACAATTAGAGATCTAGATTTCACCGATCTATAGATGATAAAAGTAGCTTCACATGATGATAGACAGATAGTATCTTATAATTTATTAATAAAGACTGATATTTTACTAATTGTTCTCTGTGTATTTTTGTTGTGAATTGGTCACTACAGGTGCACCAAGAAAGGTAGTACTGACTACTGACAGACAATTCCAGAAATATATTTTGTAATAAAACCTTTTAATTTACCCTATATTTTATTTTTGTTTATACAAAACTGGTGGCATCTATTCCAGTTAAGATAACAACATGTAAATAAATAATCTATAAGAGTAAATCATATTGATCATGCATTATAAGCCACAATTATACATTATTAGTCATTAAGTTAACTCATATTACTAGTTTTAGACTAAGTAACTTTACTAACTTATAAATTAATTGATGTAATAAATGTGACTCATATGACTCATACATGATCTTGATTTTTCTTATGAATCATAATAAATTATTATTAGTCACATAAGATTTTTACAAGTATATATACCCTTAAATTTTCTCAAGGAAAATTCAAATTTTCTCAAATATTAAATCCAAATTTTCTGTATCAAATATTTTTCAAACACAATTTTCAATCAAATATTTTCCAAACAAGTTTTCAATCAAACATTAAATCTGAATTTTCTATATCAAATTATCAAATCCAAATTTCAATTCAATATTAAAATTTCAATTTAAAATTAATTCAAAAATGTCTTATCAATTGTGTCCTAACATTATCAATACTGTTCTCAATGAAATTCCCCTCAACAAATGCTACCACCATTATCAACCAACTGAATCAACCTTCCAATATCTACCATCATTTGCCATATATTTTTACATTCTTTTTATTATTTTACTCATGTCTACTGATATTATCAAATATATAATTATCCTAATTCTTCTTTCATTAAAACTCTCTTGTGCTGTTACAATCTTCCTTCTTACCCGACTTCTTTCATTTCCCAATGTATTACATTCTTTTGAACATTTATTATTCTCTCTATTATTATCACTTCTCCTTTATTTATTATCTATATTATTATCAATCCTTCTCCATTTTCTTTATTTTCTCAATTGCATAATTTATATTCTTCTTTTTTCTTATCTATTTTTTAAATACTATTCTACTTTTAATCCCACAGTAGTTTAGTCTTCTTTTTCTTTCATTATTTTCAATTGACATATTTTTCAAAATTATCTTATATTATGTAGCTAGGTCCATTGCTTACCAAATATAGCATGGAGACATAATCTTTACCCTTTGGTCAACTTGGGATTACTTGGCCATTCTTAGATAGATAATTTTTACAAGGGGATCGTTTGCATCGCCCTTAATTGGTGTCAGAGAGATCCTTTGTCTTGTAAAAATTTACCCTTTCTTGATCATTTGACCATTCTTAGATAGATAAATTTTACAAGGGGATCGTTTGCATCGCCCTTAATTGGTGTCAGAGAGATCCTTTGTCTTGTAAACATTTATCTTTCTTTGATCATTTGATCTATCTCATGTGATTTCATTTTTCACATGTGATACCCTTTATTTTATTCCTTTGTTGAGTTCTTTCCTTAATAACTTATTAACTCAACAATTATCCATCACCGTTGGTTCCACAATTTCTGTGTCCAAGTTCAATTCTTGGAGGTGATTTTCTTACTTACTAATTAGTTTGTCTTCAGTTTTCCATTGGGTTTGGTATAGTGTCTCCCTGCTTGTTAATTTATTTCTCTGATTCATTGTAGTCCAGAGTAGTATTTTTTTGCGCAAATAATTTTTATTTTTTTTTATTTTAACATGATGACAGAACGAAGGTACAACATCATGTATCACTCTAAAATAAATAAATGTCAAAAGTGTTGGTTTTGAGGTTGACATCTAAGGTAAGATTATTGTTGTCTTAATTATTATAATTTAATTCGAAAATGCAACAATCAACATATTTATTGATACATATGATCATTACTTTTATTTGCTTTTCTTAATTCAATATATTCTGTCTTTTAACCTCCCATGCACACTCTTAAAAATAATTGGGTTTTAAAACAAAAAATCGAATTTAATTAATATGAAAAACATTTTACTGCACGATTATAATATCAAAAAAAAATTTATAGAATTATAAAGGTATCAAACAACCGTTGACATTCAAATAAAATTTTTTTTGTATTTTCATTTTTGTTAAATTCAATAAAATTATAGTATTGTCGCAAAATACAACAATAGTTGCATTCTTAATTTCCAAACACCCAGTCCCAGCTCAAGCATAGATTGTTGTGAAATTCTATGATGATAAAACAGCATGGTTACTTTTAGTATTTGATACCATGTAATAGTTATTGAGTTTAACTCAGGTAAATATTTTATAAAGAGTACCCGAGTACCCAATCAGAAAGGCTAAATGTGACATCATTATGATTTTAATTTTACTAGTATTTATCATATTTATCAACAAAAATCCCAAAGATAAACTTTGATTCTTTTAAACACTATAAAATAATCTGACAAATATTCAATAGTTAAAATATAAAATATATTTATTATTATAACTTATGATATATATATTTTGCAACAAAAGTAATGTTGAAGCTTAATTAAATACTTTAATTTAATTTATTATATGGTCATTGAATTTTTCAAATCAAATTTCTTTGAAGCAAATTACTCAAGATCCTATAAAAATGCAGATTTTGATGTTAGTAATATTAGCATATTTTTTCAGCAAGCGTGGATGGATTTTTAAATAACTTTTATATCACATTCCTAAGTCTCATAGAAAAACATGTAGTGTATGATTCTTCTATGGATATAAACCAGTTATTTCGCGGATTAGCCTTGATCTCATTACCGTCACGGTAGATCGATTCCCTATTTCTTTTATTCACTTGAAAGATGAAACAATACCTTAATTATAGTTTAAAGATATACAGATCATTAATATTGAATCATATATGTTATTGATCAAACTCAAAAATTGGAAATCGACATATATTTATTCCCACCACACATTCATTTGCATAACCAGCACGAATTACTACTATAAAGCTTTTTCATATATTCATTTATTTCAAAAGTATTCAGATTTTTGGTCATATTTATATAAAGTTTGTAAAATTGACGAATGTGATTTTACCAAACTTGGAATTACTAACGAATTTAGTAAATACATGTGTAAAGGTAAGAAACATTTAATTTATTTATTATCTTCTATTCAAGTTATAATAATTTAATATATTTAACATATTAGAAAAAGGAGTATATTTTATTTCGAATCTTATAAATTTAAATAGAGAACTTTGTCAATTCCAAGAAAGTGATATAAACAGGTTAAGTTTATTTATAATAGTACTTTAAGTCAAGTTGTCATATACCAATTAACCAAATTAACCATAATTTTAAAATCAAAGTTCATCAGGGCTTGTATTGTGTTCTAAAAATGAAAAACTTCATTTAGATTTGCCTATACTATATAGTAAACATTCTAATGATTATCTTATTTGTAAAATAAATGTTAAAAAAATATTATCTAAAGATTGCTTTATAAAATGTATATATAATAATAATGTAAGTTAATTATTTAAAATCTCTATCATTATATTTAATTTTAAATTAATATTAACTCAATTATAGAAATATAATCAAAGTGAGCATATATTAAAACATGAAGATGTGTCAACACTTGAGGGATTAGGTTGGATAGAATATCTGGATTTTAGATGTAACTCATTTAAATCTCAAATTTCAATTGAAATAAATTCTATTGAAATGGTATGTTCCTATTTACTTATTCAGATTAATTTCCTCTCAGAACAAAAATATAATATTATTCTTTAATATACAGTACATAGCAAATAGATTATGTTCGAACTAGAGGTGCTTATACTAGAAAAATAACTCCCATTCCTAACATGAGTTTGATGGGTTATTTGTTACCAGATTATCACCAATTTTTCTCAAATGTTCCGGAAACTTTCAAAGACAAGTATTTTTCAAGAAAAGAAATGGAAAATTTACTTGATTTAAATGATATTCTTAGTAACTTATAATTATTTACTTTCTTATTATTATCATTTTGTTTTATTCAATATACTTTGAAAATTTTTAAAAATTTGAACCATTTTAAAACAATAAAAAGATATTATTGGGCGTTTTTTATAAAACTAGTAACAATTTTGTTGATCATTTGTTGATCATTTATTTTTAAATTTATTATAAATTTTGTCACGAGATTTTCTATGGAAATCATTTCTCAATTTGTTATTAAAACACCTGCTGAATTGCCTCGAAATTGAAAATCATTTCTCTTTTTATAAAAAAATTTCCTTTTTGGTAAAAAACTCTCAAATTAATCTTATATAACTTTATTGTAAATGACAATGACAATATCAATGTCAGTGACAATGTCAATGTCAATGTCAATGTCAATGTCAATGTCAATGTCAATGTCAATG